AAGAAAAATTTATGGCTGATGGTGTAGACAAAGGTGAATTAAAGAGTGGGTTGACCGCTGAGAGGGAGCACATATGTCATTATTTATGGATTTTGTGGGTTTTTTTTTTTTTTGTAGTTTTATTGCAGTAAGTTGTGGTCCTGTGGCTAGTGTCGTAAATGAGGTTGAATAAGAAAGTGTCTATTTGTGTGTTGGTGACGTAGGTTGGGTTTCCATTTGTGGATGATTCTCTTTCTTTGTTTATTTTGCAGTTCCTTTTTATTTCTCTTTTTTTTTTTGAATAAATGTGTCATTTCTTTATGAGTTTATGTCTTTAATCTTTGTTAATATTGTGAATGGTGTTAAATCAGACGAGTTCGTTTGAGTATTGTTGTAGTTGAGTTGGTTTTTGAAGTTCAATTTGAGATGATTGTGCTTCCTGATTTTCATTCGATAATACATACGTCGCCATCCATAATACATAGTACCATGCTAATAATAGTTATACTAAATTTTATATCCTTATTGCAGGTCATAGCAGTTAATGGGCAGTTTCCAGGACCTACTATTAATGTTACTACTAATGACAATGTCGTGGTAAATGTGAAAAACAAATTGGACGAAAATCTACTCATCACTTGGTTTGTTTCAAACTCTCAATGTCTCATTTACTTACCTGCGAATTATATATATTTTTTTCTACTTCTTGTCGTTTTCAAGAGTGGTGTTTGAGGGATTTGGAATTTTTTTGGGACAGGCCCGGAATCCAAATGCGTCGCGCTTCTTGGCAAGATGGTGTGCTTGGCACGAATTGTCCAATCCCTCCAAATTGGAATTGGACGTATCAGTTTCAGGTTAAGGATCAGATTGGTAGCTTCTTTTACTTTCCATCACTGAACTTTCAGAGAGCAGCTGGTGGCTTTGGTTCTTTCATCATCACAAATCGTGACATCATCCCGCTGCCCTTCAACATGCCTGATGGGGATATAGTCATCATAATTGGTGACTGGTATACTCGAAACCATATGGTTAGTGGATGTTATGTTTGGAGTGTTGAATGCGGTTTTATTTTTTGCGCGTAACATGTAGTGCACGTTTTCAATTAAATTTTAGGCACTGAGGACGTCCCTCGATGCTGGACAAGACCTTGGTATGCCAGATGGAGTTCTCATTAATGGGAAGGGTCCTTACAGATACAACACGACGCTCGTCTCAGATGGCATTGATTATGAAACAATTAATGTTGATCCAGGTATTGTATCTAAGACACTGATAATTGAGTCATTATTGCATTTGATCTGTTTCTACTTCCTTCCCTGTGGTATTCTTGGAAAACTTAAAAGTTAATTTTCAAGCCTTAAATGATGACCTGACTGCTGCTCTTCATTTTTTCATTTTGGTTGATTTGTTCGTGATTCCTTTTCAGTAAACTCGCGGTGCTTAATTCTTTTGCAGTTTGGATATGAACAATTTCACTTTTATGTTGTTTTGATATGCCCCGTGAGAAATTTATTGTACCCATAATCCATCCAACTGATGCTGACCATTTAAACAATGAAAGTGTTTTGCACCCATTCAAGCGGATTAGCTTGTTGCTGTGCCAATAACTTTTACAGATGTGAACTGTTTATATGCTGAAAGTGATTGTTACCCAAGCAGACTATCTGGTCGCAACAGCATCAAATCGTCAATATACTGAGTTTTTTTTTTTTTTTATGTCTGTGCACCTGGCATCAAACAAGCTGTGATTTGTTCTTATTCCTTCGGGTACCTCAGTTGTATCCTTTTTCATTTAGTCGCTGCTGTATAGTCCTGGACTGGAAGCTCATTACTCGTGACTTAGTAGGAAGGTGCAATTACTGGTTAAGAGGCATTAAAGTTTCAATTGGAGTATTTACAAACAAATAAAGTATGTTCTCTCACCAGGGATAAGATGTATGGGATTAATCAGCAAAACCACTGGGAGGTGGCAAACTATTATCGAATTAAACATTGGTTTACTTCATTTCTAATCATGTTTCTATTATAAGGGTTCCTGTGTTAGTGGATTTCTTCCCCTTGAACAGTCCTGAATTTTTTAAGTTGTCTTGGCTGCTGTAATGTACTGCAGGGAAAACTTACCGAATTCGCGTGCACAATGTTGGAGTCTCAACTTGTTTGAACTTCCGAATTCAGAACCATAATTTGCTCCTGGCTGAAACAGAGGGGTTTTACACATCGCAACAAAATTATACGAGCTTAGATATCCATGTTGGACAGTCTTACTCTTTTCTGGTTACCATGGATCAGAATGCAAGTAGTGATTACTATATTGTAGCAAGTCCTAGGTTTGTCAACCAAACATTGTGGCAACAAGTAACTGGTGTTGCTATCTTGCACTATTCCAATTCCCAAGGAAAGGCATCTGGCCCTCTCCCTGACTCTCCAAATGATGTTTATGACACATCATTTGCATTGAACCAAGCAATGTCCATCAGGTTTGTTCCCACGTTCCTTTGAAGTCTGTTAATGTGTTGATTGTAATCAACTTTTAGATGTATTGTTACAAAGGTAGTTTCTATGTATCCCAACCATAGATCTTGGCAGTGCATCAAAGTTTTTTTCTTTTCCCTTTTTTTTTAAGTTTGATGACAAAATTGCTAATTAATTTAATTAGATTGTAATCCAAGGGTTTCCTAGTATGAAATCTAAGGGGTCCTTAGAGTTTATATTTGTAACTACAAATACTTTCCAATTTCTTTCAAAAAGAAGAGAGATGAACATGTCTAAAAATTGAAATATAACAATTTATTGGACAAAAGGCAGACCTTGTCAGAGAGAGAGGTATTGGAATGGCAGTTAAATGATGAGAAGTGAATGTTAGATTGGCGGCTAATAGTTGTTTCCTAATCTCTCCTAGGAGAGGGGAATTCACTATAAAGAAAAATGGCCTAGAGAAGAAGTACTGCATTTTTCTCTCATAAAAAAACAACAAAAATCACAAGACATGCGATGCTCTGGCCTCTTGGATAACCTTGTAGTCAATATTTGCGTATTCTTTTTCAGAAGTTTAGAATTGTCGACTTAGTTATAACTTATGACTTCCCACTGTTATTTAATGATGAAATCCGAATTTCTTGCTCAATACTAGAATGCTGCCACTTTCAAATTTCCCTGCATCTTTTCTTTCTCCTCTTGACATTCTTCCTTTAGATTCTTATCATAATTAGTTATGATATGTTTTGATCAATGTGTTCCCCATATTCAATCTGATCAGGCAAAATACGACAGCAGCTGGAGCTCGTCCCAACCCACAGGGTTCTTTTCATTATGGTTCAATCAATGTGACTGATGTTTATGTGTTAAAGAGTGTTCCACCCCAGATTATTGATGGGAAACTCCGAGCTACATTTAACGGGATTTCGTTTGTTAACCCTGATACTCCACTTAGGCTTGCAGATTTATTTAACGTGAAGGGTGCTTACAAGCTTGACTTCCCAGACATGCCAATGAACAGAACACCCCTGGTGGACAGATCCATTATTAACGCAACGTACAAGGGATTTATAGAAGTCATATTGCAAAACAACGACAGTGTAGTTCAGAGCTTCCACATGGATGGTTATTCGTTTTTTGTGGTTGGGTATTGTTCTTATGTCAAGTATCATGTGCAATTAAATGTCAATTGCGGTTTTTGCTTTTTGATAAAGTGATTATTATGTTGCAGGCTAGGTAATGGAGAATGGACAGAAAACAGTAGGGGTTCATATAATAAGTGGGATGCAATATCTCGCTGCACTACGCAGGTTTGTTCCTAGGGAGCTTCTTTATATATTTCTCGTGATTAGCCTTCGAAGGACAAGGAAAACTTAGGCTTGTGTCTTCTGCATAAAAGGATTGTTGGAGTTTAGAATGTTTATTATGATCTTACGACTGACTGATTTATTTGCTTTCTGGCTTACATAACATGTTCTGGAATTATGCTTCCCTGGTGTCAGATGTAGACCTTATACAGCCAATCTTGTGTCTGTTATTGACGATTGTTTCTTTTGTAAGGATCAAACATGAAATACACATTTTATCTTTCAATGATTTACTCTTTTTTCTTGTGTCAAGGTTTTCTCTGGCGGATGGACAGCAGTCATGGTCTCTCTCGACAACGTTGGAGTGTGGAATCTTAGAGCAGAAAACCTCGACAGATGGTATCTAGGCCAAGAAACATACATGCGAATTGTCAATCCTCGCGATACTGACAACAAAACAGAATTGCCTGTCCCTAATAATGCTCTTTTCTGTGGTGCCCTTGCCAACTTGCAGAAGTAAAACAACTCTCTCTCTCTCTCTCTCTCTCTCTCACACACACACACACACACACACACACACACGCACATTTATTTACCTGTCCCTTGACATTTGGTTTGTATTTCAGGCCCCAGAAAATTTCTTCTTCATCAGCATCAGCCATGGCTGGATATATAAAGCTGTATTGTACACTGCTGATGATATTCTGTGTTGCTATTTCCAATTTAAGATGAGCCTTATCGTCAAATGATGAGAAGAATTGCAATCTTTTGCAGTGGTCGCGGGTTTTGGCTTTCGTGGTAGATATATCTGGTCAGATTTGCTGGAGTTGCATGTTACATTGTTTTTTCATTTTAGTTGCAGAATTGATCACTAGAGCAGACTCTATTTAGTACAAGTTTGGCAGGTATTTGCTGACAGTAGGTGATTTTGAGTCCTCCATTCCATCATTCTTTATGTATCAAAACTACGACTCATGCTGATTAACCCAGTTTTAATACCATTTTAATTAGACCCAACTTTTATGATTGACTATCTTCTCTGGTGGATCGGATCCACATTTTTATAATGGGTTTCACTTTAATTCATGTTTGCTGATTTACTATCGTCAAAGATTGAAAAAACTAATGAATTAGGCAGGATGTCCTTGTGCCGAATAACAAACAACGGGCCAATTTTATAAATTTCATCGAAGTGAAATGAAATATACAAAACACAAATTAACGAATAATGAAACAAGATTACAGTCCTGCTGTGAATGGCACGCCTGTGGCTGGCAACCAAGCCCCACCGGCGATAAAACTGGCAACCGTGAACTGTGACGCTGTCTTCGTGCTCGTTATAACATGATAGCCACGCCACTTCACTCTGTATTGGGTCGAAGAGCCCGGCCCAAAGTTCATGTATTCTCCATAGTACAAAGTGTCGAAAGCGAAATTGGTATTTTCCCATGGCAACCAACCTGCTGAATTCACTATACCATCAAAATAAGTTTTAAGATAAACTGTCCTAGAGTATTGCATCCAGGGACGTCCCAAGTATGTGTTGTACAAATGAGCCACCGGCAATAAGTCCGGTGCCGGACTGACTAGGGAATTATGGATCGAAATTCCTGTGTTTTGAAATGGATCAACCCGACCTTGGGCTGTAATTACATTCACTTGGCCCCATAGAGGCTTTCTTACCAAAATGAAACAGTTTTGAAAAATCACAGCTGCGTTACCGAAAATAAAATCTATAGTACCATAGATGTAACATGATTTGTAGAATTGTCGTTGAGCAAGGACGAAGAGTGTGTCTTGATATCCTTCGAAACCACAAGAATAAAAGACTGAGAGATCTGACGCTGATCGGAGTGCAACTGCTTGAGAATTTTGTGGACCGGCGGTGTTCCGAAATGTAATGCCACGGGCAATGAATGCAATGCCATCGACCCCTAAGCAACATATAATTAAACAACTTTAGTTACTTAAACTTGTGGATGGGTCGAAGGGGGTATGCCTCGGCATATGGCCCATGGTATTTGGATTGGGTCGATAATCTAGTGGCCCATGGACCTAGTCCGTCACTTGGTGAACCTTTGAGCAATCCGATAAGCCCATGGGCAGGGTTGCGGGCTGTAATTTTCGGCCTGCCACATGTATCGGGCTCATACACCGACGAGGTTTGATAAAACAAATAAAAAATATATGAAATTAAACTTTTTTTTATCACATTACTTAAATAAATCACATGGCCCGTTGCCTGTGGGTCGGGTCGGAATATGCCCCGGCCCATTGTCGAGACATAATTTGGGGGCTGAAGCTTAACCATGAAACTACATTTGCTTCTAAAAAAAATTTGTATATTATTTATTAAAAATATAAAAATAATTGTTAAGTAGTTGACTTTGCTCCTTAAGTTCTGGTCCTCCAGCAGTTTTTGATCCTAAACTTTGTTTATACGCAAATTTACGTAAATACTTCAATCAAACCCACGTAGTTCATTAAATGGTTGCACATGAAAAACAGTTGTGGCAATAACACCAACACATTACAATTTGATAATAAAATCATAGAGCAAATCATACTTCAACGCACAGATCTATGTCTCTCATTACATGTTGCTTCTCCAAGCATTTTTCTTTTTTTTTACGAAGTGTGTAAGCTTACATTAATTACTCTCTCGAATTCATTGGCTGATCACCGTGAGTTGAGTTAAATTAGAATATGTCCTTTAAGGATAATAGTGACTAAATCTTAAAAAGTGTGAAAAAAATTAAACTTAAAACTCCTGAATTAGTCACGGTTGTGCTCAACTAATGAACCAAGTTGTTGGTCTAGGTTTAATTTGTTCTAAAATCACATTAGAGCCAGAGAGAGAGAGAGATCACTCACCAACAGTTGCACAGCTATAGGTTGTGTATCCTCCGGCGACACTCCGGCTGCCGGTGATTATGGTATATCTCAAGCCATCACCAACCAGCGTGATCTTATTCATGTTGTTGCTTATTTCAATATTCTCCGTATAAACACCTCTTTTCACATAAACTATAATCCTCCCATTCCCAACCCTCTTCGACACTGCATAATTTATAGCCGCTTGAATCGATCTGAAATTGCCTGACCCATCTGCTGCTACTACAACATTTGCCATGGTTGCCATTGTTGAAGTTTGAAGCAGCTTCCGATCACCGGCGGTGACCCAACTCGGAAAACCATCTGTATAGCTGTTTTCCGGTATCAGAACTCCATTAACGGCCAAACAGTTGCTTATGAGCTCTGAAACGTTGGTTGATACTAAAGGTGATATGAACTTCGAGATATTAAGCTCAACAGAGCTTGATCGGCAAGTTTCAAGATTTGTAAGGGCGGTACTGAGCCATGTTTGAGCATCGAACCCAGAACTCGTGTTGGTCTGAAGGCCTTGAAGGGTTCGGTTAAGTTGGAGAATGGTGTCGTCGAACAGTTTGTAACAGTCAGTCCATGCCGTCTTTCTTCTCCGGCTCCGGCAATGTGGTCGGAGCTGATTTGCATGGGATGGGAGATTAAGGGCTTTCTCCATGGCGACTTGCACCGTCATGGTTCTGAAATCGGCTTTGTGTCTCGGTTTGAAATGGTGAGGACCACCGGACATGAAGTACTTGCAGGGCTCAGGGTGGGGAGTGGTGCTGCACCACCAGTCTATGTCACTGTTTTGATCTTGTGGTTGGGCTTTGGAGAAGAAGAAAGAGAAAGATATGTATATCAAGAATAAAATGAGCTTGAACGCCATTACTGTAATTACTTTCTTATCTCTTCTTCTTTCTATGATCTGGTCTTTGTCGTATCAACAAGAAGATGATAACATGTTTCTACTAGGGTTTCTCTTTATATAGAAGAAGAGAAAGAGATGGGTAATTAATCGACAGTCAGTTGACTTGCATTAAAATATGAGGAGTGACACATGCAGTTAAATATTTTTCTGTGTCTTTACTCAATAGTGTTTGGATCATGAGATCCTTGTTACACGGATAACTGCGACTACACACAATGCACATATGTGTGTGTGTGAGAGAGAGATAGAGAGTGTTTGCCGTCTTGGTGTTTTGGAAGGATGAAGCACATAACTTCAAGACCATGATATAATATTTTTGTAATAATTAATTTTTAAATTATTTTAATAATTTAATTAAATAATATGTACTAATTTAACAACACAATAAATCAATTAACACTAAAATCTAAAACAACTACATCAAGAATTATAATAAAACACAATAAAGTATGAACATCAATTTACTATTATTGTTACAAAAATATAATAACAATTAATTTAAGTTTAAACTTAAAATCATATGAAATATATTAAAATCATAATTGTTCTGCCTATGGTTAGGATTTAGGGTTTTTTAATTTTATATATATATATATTAAAAAATTATTGCGGATAGGATAGGGTAGGAATGCGAAAATGGATGATTATTTCGTATTCCTACCCGAAAATTGTCAGAAGACCAAAATCTCTTTCGCATTTCTACCCGATTTTTACGGTTAGCCGTTCAGTAGGGTAGGGTAAGGTAGAAACTTACGGCCGGTCGAAAATTTGAACACCCCTAGCTATAGGCTTAAAAACTAATAGACTTAAAAAATTAATTTAAATTTTTTTGAATTAATCTTAAATTATATTTTAAAAAATTCTTCGAATCTCAATTTCTACTCTCAAAAATTAAAATTTTTAATTTACACTCTCAAAAAGAGCAATTTGCATCATTGTGTAAACTAATAGCCATAGGTTGCCGTCTAAAAGTAAATAAATAAATTACACCTAAATCCTCTCATGTCTGTCAAATAATTATTTGAACCCCTTCACATTTAGAATATTAATCTTACACCTCCTAGCCTTTGTACACATGTAACACATAACCCCTTATCGTTGATATCTGTTAATATAACCGTTAAAAATATGATTTCATCCTAATAAAAAATTATAATTTTCATATTACTTTTTATTTTTTAGGCCAATTATACTCTAAAGTCCTAAATTAAGTTTATTATTTGAATGTTTAATATAATACAGATATTTATATAATACTCCCCCCGTTCATAAATATCTGTCGTTTAAAGTTTTTACGCAACGATTAAGGAAGTTAGTAAATAGCTCTAATATGAGTAAAAAATAATTGTACAAGACTAAACTACCTTTACTCAATACGTATTGAGAAGAAAAGGAATATGAAAGACACTTAACCTACACTTAATCTATTAAGCGCTTATTGGAAAACATAGATAAGGGTAAATTTGGAAAAAAAAATATTAATTATGCTTTAGTTTCATTAAACGACAGATATTGTGGAACAAAACAAATTGTGTAAAACGACAGATATTTAGGAACGAAGAGAGTATTTTTTATGTCTAATGTAATATATCACTTAAACAAAATTATTTGGATGCCCAATTAGGAGAACATTTTTACTCATATTTGAATTCTAAAGGGATATAGGTGCAATATTTCAAATGTAAGAGATCTAGGTGTAATTTATTCATTTAGTTTTCGAGGACAAACTAACGGCCGTTAGCTTGAGCTGTGCATTGATACAAAATTTCTATTTTTTAGGGTGTAAATTAATATTTGAACAATCTTTTAGGGTGTAATTTGAAATTAATCCAAATTTTTTTGATGAATCACTATCATTGAATACGGAAAATACTATTTAGACCTAAAAACCTGACATAATTTGCTGATCTAATGACGTGGCTTCATTGAAATCATTGGATTAACACCAAGTTTCAATGTTTGATAGAGTCCACAGTCAATCCAAATGTCATAGTGAATTAGGTCAGCAAATTAAGTTCCAATAAATACTCGAACTCAATAAAATTAATAAGAAATATAACAGCAACATCATTTAGTCAAATTTTAAAATTAATTTTTTAAGTCTGTGTAGTACTCATGAGTATTCTCGCAACACTTTGGGTAGTTTCCAAATGATCCACAGCAAGAGATACAACTAAGTGATATTGGAAACAGACTCAGTGAAGGCTTTCACCCTCTTCACCAAACCACAAGAGGAAGACCACCCAATAAGGCGCTGATTGCAAATTGTAAGCATCTGCTGAAAGCCAACCTTTGCGAGGATGTAGCAACAAGGCTTCGTGGAACTGTTAGTTCCACCTCATCAAGTCCTCAAAGCTCTCAGAGCCGATTTAGCTTGTATTGCCTTTCTTAGAGAGACTTAGCGACTCTTTTTTACCAAATAAAAAAATTTAATCTCGCAAAGAGCTTGAATTGGCTGAATGGCCTAAACCTTGATGAGAAATGACTGCTCCAACCAAATTTAATCTCTTCTCAGTAAAAAAAAACTAATGAATTACAGGCGACTATGACATGCTTGTTTGTCAATACACTTAAGCAACTTATACCTTACTTTTTGAAACAATTTGTCTAGTGTTGTTTGCTTACGTAACATATTGTGCTAATAATGGATTGCTAATCCTGTGTTTGTTTGAGTGTAGGATTGTTAATGTGCATAGCAAGCTACTCTCATTTTCAAATGAAGAAGCTTATATTCCATTTTATTTTATTTTTTTGCAACATGAAGGCCCCAACCAGCCATTTTTTAAGGTATAACCCATGTGCTTTCCTGTATTGGGGATTAAGCAAACTATTACAGGTCAAAAATCTCTAATCTATAATTACATAATTAAGCTTCAATTGCCCAAAAAAATGAAAAAAAACAAATAGAAGAATTGATAAGCTTCAAGGAAGAATTGCATAAGCTTCAAGAATAATTCCTATCTCATCCCTATAAGTTAACTTGTGAGTTCAACATACAAGTGTTGTGACAATTTCTCTTTCTAATTTCAAAGGTAGTTCAAGTTATAACATAGATGAGTTGTAAATTTAGACGTCCTGCCATCAAATTTTGACAATCCCTTGGGATTAGGTCATGACAAATTTATCCCTCATGAATATCTTAGTTCTAGCATAGATGATTTGTCTTTGACTGAACCGAGAAGAGGGTTAGTCGAATTGTGTATAAGTTACTCCAGATATCCCTTACCATTGAACAAAAAATTAATAATTTCTCTTTGTAAACACCACATGACACTGAATACCTTACAAGCAATCAAAATTTTCTGAAGAGGTTTTTTTTTTTTTTTTGATCAGAGATTCAAGAGGTTCACATGGAAAAGAATTAGAGCTCCCCGTGGGCCAGTCTCTTTTTGGGCCAGGAAACTTGGGCTTATACTGAAGTTCTCGTGGAATTTCTGCATGTTGGGCTACATTTTGTAATCCACAAGAAAACAGAAAGAACAGTATTATATCCATTACCGGGCAGCTATGGGCCAGAGTCCGCCTTGCTCAGCCCATAAGATTCAGGCCTGGAATAGAACATGGACACAGCCTACTTCTCCATTTTTAGTTTCTTGATGTGTGAAAACAAAAGAAATAAATGAATACATTTTGACACTTAGAATACAATGCCGTACTTTTTCTTTTCTTTTTTTTTAAATTTGGGATATCACAGTTTCACCCCAATTTTCATAGTTTTCGTATTTCTTTTTAGTTGGCTTATCTCTATCAATTTATAGTTTTTTTTTCTCAAAATTTTCGAATGTTTTAGGCCCCGATCTCTATGGGTTCACATTACTCTTTTTTCCTTTTTCTATTACGAGAATAGATGTGGTGTCACGATTGCACCATGTCACTACTCTAACATAGCAATGAGGATCAAAACCCTACTCTCAACATTTTTGTATCCACACAGTGACATTAGCCTAGACATTAAGGATGTTTATTGTGTTATTTTAAAAGAAACACATGGGTAGAGTAATGGTCCACTGCATTCATTAAGCTGGCTTAAGCTTACTAGGACACTACATGAATTCATGCACAGCAGCCAGTCTTGCTGTGTTGAAAAACATGACTCAATTTGGTCAAGTTAACATCGATTGATCTAAAAGTTTTTGAATCAATCCCAACATATTAAGATCGATGTTAAGTTATAGAATTAAATGACCCGAGCAACGTTTCCAACTTAGAATCGACCGATACTAAGTTTTTAAGGGTGATACTAAATTTTTGCAAACTCGAACACTGGTGCCTAACCTTAATAAAATAATTAGAAAAAGGTTCTCCAAAATTTAAGAAATTAGATATAAGTCCACGGGATTTGAAAATGGCTAAAAAAAGGTGGGGCCATTCAGTACTTTTGTCAACAAAATACATGTGGGTGATTTCCTTTCGCTCTCAGTTTTTCAATATTCCACTGTTATTTTGGTATAATTCCAATACCCTACCCCCTAAATTCTTTATTTCTTCCTTTCTTTCCGCAATCTGAACACCACCACCAATCCATCGCTCACGTGGTTAGAGTCCCTCAAAGTCTTGTAACTAGTCCTCTTTGTCTGCACAATAATGTCAGCATTCACACTCACTTGAGTCAGACGTTGGGTGCATTTTTTAATTTTTTATTTTTTGGACATGGATCGGAACGTGAAATATGATCTATATGGATTGATTCATTAGTATAACAAAACAAGGAAGGCACGTTTAGATGACAATAATTTTAATTAGAAATAGGTATTTCATTCGGGATACAGTGTATGCTTGATATAAGCTATTGGAGGCATTTTCAAATGAAAGCTGCTTCCACCAATATTTTGGGTATTTAGATTTGTGCAGACTATTCCTTTAAACTCAATAGCTGACCATCGCGATTTGATTTGAGTTAAAACATGTCTCTAAGAGAACAAGGATAAGAGAAAAATGATGACTACCATTTAGGATGT